GAATTGGGTCTTTGCCCACGAAAGCTTATGCTCCAACACTTCAGTTAGTCTATAAGGTGCCACAGGACTCCTCGCCGCTTTTGCAGATTCAGACTAACACGGCTTCCCCTCTGATACTTACCTTGCAAAGGAGTTCTGTAGATGGAAGAACCTTTTGTCACAATAATCTGGTATCAAAACTTGCAAATACCCAGTGTAGTTAGTTCCCAGATTGTAACTGTGCATTTCATTGTCCTATGCAAAGCTTAATCATGTTTTAATCATGTCTCCATTACATGCCTTCCTCTCAGGTCACTGCACCTCTCAGTAAGGCAAGGAAGACAATGAGATACCCCTGATACTGAATATTAAGACTCCAACGTGCTACCTATGCTCTAGCTCACACAAACACACAGCATTCAACTGCAGATTTCTATGAGATGCGCAGTCTAGGAAAATACATTCATCCAGTCAGGACTCTTGATAGAAAAAAATGCACCCAAAGAAACAGCCAGGTGAAGAGGAAAAGGGAAGCTCTTGAGGGGAGTGGAAATTCACAGAAACGAAAGAAAACCCTCAAAGCCAAAGTCAGGAGGAGCTTTTGAAGTGTTCTTCCAGGGAGATGAAGGGAATGTTTTACCGTGACAGTAAAAAGGCAGCATTGTCCAGAGGGCAAGGCATTGGACTGGAGTTGGGAGCTATGACCTTCAGCAAGAAACTTCTTTTCCCTGTGTCTCTGTTTCACCCCTTCTCCTTTGTCTGTCTCGTCAATGTAGGGTTTGTCATACTGTGTGTTTGTCTGTACAGTGCCACCTCAACAGCACCCTGCTCTCAAAGAGAATCAGCTTAATCCAAAATGCCCTCCAGGGGGAGGCAACGTTTGTGTGTCAGGGACTCACAAAAGAAGGAAAGGCCCATACTGTCCACTGAGCCTTTCTGTCCCAAGTAGGGTTGCCAGATGGTCTCCCAAAAAATACCGGACACACAGTATTTTTTGGTTGAGCATAAAAAAAAAAAAGGAACGCAGGATAAGCAGCTCCCGCCCCTCCCCCCCCATTCTGGGGCACCCAGGGTGGTGATCACAACCATGCCTCCCAGCTAGGACTCCCAGGCTGGGAGGCGGGGCCACGATCGGCGCTGGGAGCCTGTGATTGCGCAGAAGCCTTGCGGGGGCGGGCGGAGTGCTTGGGACTCTCTGTTATTCTCTGATTTTTTTTACTGAACAAAGAGCACAAGTCTGGTGCGCAGTCATAAAAATCAGAGAATACCGGACATTGCGCATGTCCCGTATTCTCTGTTGTTGTTTTTTACCAGACAAAGAGTGCAAATACCGGACTGTCCAGTAGACTACCAGACACCTAGGAACCCTAAGCATTTAAGCCGTCAACTGCTCAAAGGGCCAGAGTCATCAGCAGGCCTGCTTTGCACTGCTGCAGTGACACTAGGCACCTATAGCCCAACTTAGCCGGCCAGTTAAACTAGCTGTATGGTGCTTTGCATTGGCCAGGCTGCATGGCTGACTCTGGCCCAGGATGTATGGCACATCTCGACTGTCGCTGATCAGGGGGTTAGAAAAGGCTAGTGATTTGAAAAAGACTAACGCAATGGCAGGTGTCTCAACCTATTATTGCATTGGTAGGTCGAAGCATGAATGATCCTCCTCCCCCCCACATACACACCATTTCTCCTCTGGTGATGAGATGCGTAACATAGCGAATGCTAGCGGAAATGGGGTAGGTTTAGAAGTTAAAATAAAAAAAACAAGTTAAAAATTACTTAGAAAAGTTAGATGTCTGCAAGTCACCAGGGCCTGATTAAATGCATTCTAGAATACTCAAAGAGCTGATAGATGACATATCTGAGCCGTTATCTATCATTCAAGTTGAGAGAGATTCCAGAAGACCGGAAAAGGCCAAATATAGTGCCCACCTATAAAAAGGGTCATCTGAAGAATTGGGCTGTGCCCACAAAAGCTCATGATACTGTCTACATGTTTTGTTAGTCTTTAAAGTGCTACCAGACTATTTCTTGTTGTTTTTTAAGTTTATAAAAAGGGAAATAAGAACAACCCAGGAAACTACAGACCTGTCAGTTTAACTTTTGTGCCAGGAAAGATAATGGAGCAAGTTATTAAGGAATTAATCTGCAAACATCTGGAAGATAAGAAGGTGATAGGTAACAGCCAGCATGGATTTGTAAAGAACAAATCATGTCAAACCAATCTGATAGCTCTCTTGGATAGGATAACAAGTCTTGTGGATAAGGGAGAAGCAGTGGACGTGGTATACCTAGACTTTAATAAATCTTTTGATATGGTCTCGCATGACCTTCTTATCAATAAGTGAGGGAAATACAACCTAAATGGTTGCACCATAAGGTGGCTATATAACCATTCTCAGGGTACATCTACACTTGCAGCCTAGTTCGAACTAGGGATGCAAATGTAGGCAACCAAAATCGCTAATGAAGCGGGGATTTAAATATCCCACACTTCATTAGCATAATCTCACCTGCACACTATTCCAATCGCCAGCTTCATTAGCAATTTCGGTCACCTACATTTGCATCCCTAGTTCAAACTAGGATGCAAGTGCAGACGTACCCTCAGAGAGTAGTTATTAATGGCTCACAATTCTGCTGGAAGGGCATAAGAAGAGGGGTTCCGCAGGGGTCTGTTTTGGGACTGGTTCTGTTCAATATCTTCATCAATGATTTAAATGATGGCATAGAGAGGACGATTAGTAAGTCTGCATATGATACCAAGCTGGGAGGGGTTGCAAGTGCTTTGGAGGATAGGGTCAAAATTCAAAATGATCTGGACAAACTGGAGAAATGGTCTGTGGTAAATAGGATGAAGTAAGATAAGACAAATACAAAGTGCTCCACTTAGGAAAGAACAATCTGTTTGAAACATACAGTGACTGGGAAGTGACTGTCTAGGAAGGAGTACTTCAGAAAGGGATTTAGGAGTTTTATTGAGCCATAAGATAAATATCAGTCAACAGTGTGACACTGTTGCAAAAATAGCAAACATGATTCTGGGATGCATGAACAGGAGAAGATAAGACAAATACAAAGTGCTCCACTTAGGAAAGAACAATCTGTTTGAAACATACAGTGACTGGGAAGTGACTGTCTAGGAAGGAGTACTTCAGAAAGGGATTTAGGAGTTTTATTGAGCCATAAGATAAATATCAGTCAACAGTGTGACACTGTTGCAAAAATAGCAAACATGATTCTGGGATGCATGAACAGGAGTGTTGTGAGCAAGACACGAGAAGTCATTCTTCCGCTCTACTCTGCACTGATTAGGCCTCAGATGGAGTATTGTGGCCTGTTCTGGGCACCACATTTCAAGAAAGATTCAGAGATCTAGAAAACAAGAGCTATGAGGGGAGACTGCAAAACTGAAAGAATTGGGCTTGTTTAATTTAGAAAAAAGAAGACTGAGAGGGGACATGATAGCAGTTCTCAGGTACCTCAAAGGATGTTACAAGGAGCAGGGGGAAAAATTGTTCCCCTTGGCCTCTCATGATAGGACAAGAAGCAATGGGCTTAAATTGCAGCAAGGGAGGTTTAGGTTGGACATTAGGAAAAGCTTCCTAACTGTCATGGTGGATAAACCCTGGAATAAATTGCGTAGGGAGGCAGTAGAGTCTTCCATTACTGGTGATATTTAAGATCAGGTTAGACAGACATCTACCAGGGATGATCTAGACCAGTGTTTCTCAACCTTTTTTTATAAAGTACCCCTGTTAAAAAAATTATAAGTACCCCCAGAATATACAGTTTTCAGACACACCATTTATTTTTTACCATTGCAACACATTTGGGTGTAAAAAGTACAAAAATAAAGCTCTGTAAAACTCAAAACAAAATTTCATTTTTCTCCAAATTTCAGTTGTGTTGACGTACCCCCCCCCCCCCCCCCACCCTATCACAAGTTGAGAAACACTGATCGAAATGGTACTTTGTCCTGCCGTGTGGGCAGGGGACTGGACTTGATAATCTCTTGAAGTCCCTTCCAGTCCTAGTATTCTATGATTCTATGACTCTGTACAATTAACTCAGAAAATACGCTAAAAATATCCTACTATAAGTACATGCAAATCCTGTGGTATTAACCTTCATGGAAATCCACAAGTTGAGAAACACTGATCGAAATGGTACTTTGTCCTGCCGTGTGGGCAGGGGACTGGACTTGATAATCTCTTGAAGTCCCTTCCAGTCCTAGTATTCTATGATTCTATGACTCTGTACAATTAACTCAGAAAATACGCTAAAAATATCCTACTATAAGTACATGCAAATCCTGTGGTATTAACCTTCATGGAAATCCTGTGGTACCAATCATCACCACAGCAAACTGATTTAACCCTAATCATTTTTTCAACATGGAAAAACATCTCTTCCTGTATAGGCTGAGAGCTACTGTTCATCACATTTAAGCTGCCATGGCTGGTATAACAACATACTGTAGCTTCTGAGGGAGTAGACAGCATCCATCTCCCACCTGTTATGTCTTTTTATAGGGGTGTATTTAGTTATGTCAAGAAAAACACAGGGAAAATAAAACAGCACAAAGATCAGAAAGATGATTCAAGCGCAAGGAACACAGGAAGGACGAAGGGCCATTTCTCTCTCCGTTACAATGTGTAGAACGAGCCTCTTCATGTTGAGTCAAACAATACACACAACGATCTCTGAGCAATGGGTTTTTGTGTTTTGAGAGCTATGGAACAGGTCCTAGTGGATATAATTTGGCATTGCTCCAGGGAATCAATAGAGCTATGCTACTATCATCACTGAAGCTACACTGATTTGCTCCAAAGGAGGGTCTGGTCCTACCTTTTTCCGCATTTTGACTGGCTCCTTTTACACCCATTTCCAAAGGTTTGTTGTTTAGCAAAAGGAAGAGGGTGCAATAGCCAGCTAGTCAAACTACAAAGTCATACCACAGCAAAGCCCTATTAATAACGTAATACCGTACACAACATGTTAAATCTTTGATGCCTATTTTTTATGACAAAGATTACAAAGAGACCCTAACATTGTATATTATTCTACCAATCCATGACTACATAACGAGAATGATGAGCGGTGGAAACGTAGGCTGCTCTCAGATTGGATTTCATACCAGTAATATAAGCAATTTTCTCAGAAATAAATTGTTCTCTCTGAAACAAACAAATGCACAGCAGGGAATGGTGGAATCTGTAAAGCAGAGATCTGTAAACAAAAAACAAAGAGGTCAGTTTGAATTCATTTGTATTTGACTTCTATGTTTAATGGAATCCCATAATCTCCAAGTGGTTGTGCAAGCCAGGTTTATCAGTCTGCACCATCTTTAATTCAGGAATTCTAGAGGCCAATCAAAAGCTAACACAGTATCTAGGGCAGATAAATCTTAAAGGACATTTGCAGAACTCTCTGTTCTTGAAATAAAATTGACTAGTACATCCACATCCCAAAAGGTGTTGTGGTCTATCTAGATTTAACGGGTCTCTGTGGAAGAGCAGGTACAGAAATATTTTCCAATTTAAAAAAATGCTATAGCTTTTATTAGCGAATCTAGGAACAATCATACTGCAGATATGTAGAATAGCTCAGTATTAACAACTTGTATTGAACAGTTAGAATATAGCAGGCTATCTATACCTTCTTAAAGTGTCATCTCCAATTTCACAATAATTACTAGTATTGCGCTTTACACAATCTTAAATAATATAGGACATCAGTTTGAACTTCAATTCTCTGCTAAAAATTATAGCCCCAGCAATTTCTAATTCATAAAAAAAATAGCTGACAGGTTTATTGTGCTTCAGATTCCTGAGTACACAGAAATTCTCTTATTAGGACGACTTATAGGATCTGGGATGAACAAGAGATAATATGATTTATTGACTTTAGAAGGACATTTGTAAAAGGGAGTTGGCATTTGGCAACTGTTCCATGAATCTTATGATATTATTGGACAGCCTAGAAAAGCAAAGGAGAGCAAGGGAGACATAATGACTTTTAAACCCAAATGTAGACTGAGAAAAAAATCCTCCATCTCATCCAGCATTGATCTTTTGTATTAAAAATATACCATAACGGTAGTGTTTAGAAATGTGTGTGCAGCCACTATGACACCCGTGTGTGCAAAATGTGTGCTGTTAACCAGCTGGGTGTCCAAATGGCTCTTTCGATGTGTACCTGCAATCATTGAATATATAAATTATGCACACAATTATTTAGACACCATTCGTAAACAGGCAATACTAAAAATCAGGTCCTTAATTTTTAAAAATCTTTGGGACAGGTACTAATGGATTTTTTTTTCCAATTTCCCACTCACTGGGGAAACTTTCCAAACAAGGGATCTTTAACAGTAGGCCTATGTGCCGGGGTCATCGTCTTCTACATGTGTTCAAACCCTTCATTTGGTGGAACAGAGATCTGATATTTGCTAATCACAGTGCAACACATCCATAGCTGCAGATCATATTCCAATGACCACCACAAAGCATCAGTGCCTTGCTGGCAGGTGGCTTCTTATGGGTATCCAGTTTGGCATCAACATCACGGCAAATTCTGGAGGAACGCAACCTTCTTGCAAATAGATGGCCAGTTAGACTGATCTCCAGAGAGGTGCTTAAGGCGAGCTGTCCGGATGATCAATCTGGCTATGTCTAGACTGCAGGCTTCTTTCGAAAGATGCTCTTTCGAAAGCATCTTTCGAAAGAGCATCTTTCGAAAGATCGCGTCTAGACTGCAGGCAGATCTTTCGAAAGAAAAATCCGCTTTTTCGAAAGAGAGCACCCAGCGAGTCTGGATGCTCTCTTTCGAAGACAGCCTCTTTACATTGAAGAACGCCTTCCTTCGAAAGAGGAACTTTCGAAGGAAGGCGTTCTTCCTCGTGAAACGAGGTTTACCGCCATCGAAAGAAAAGCCGCGTTCTTTCGAAATAATTTCGAAAGAACGCGGCTTGAGTCTGGACGCAGGGGAAGTTTTTTCGGGAAAAGGCTACTTTTCCCGAAAAAACCCCTGAGTCTGGACACGGCCTCTGTGTCCATCGTGGTTGGTCTTATCACATTGCCACCAATGATGCAGCAGCATTCCCTTGGCCAATACACTTCAAAATGTGTTCATCTTCCATCCTAATAATACAGCCATATCAAGAAAGCCACTCACACGGAGCCACATTGCTAATGGGGGCAGGTGTGGGTTCCTCTTCAGCTCTGGAAGGACTAGGGTTGGAGGCAATGGTTTATGGAGTCTATATCAGTGAGAAAAAGAATTTTCCCTGTGAACCAGAACACTCTGGATTTCAGATCTGACCTCATATGTGGGCTCTAGCCTTTACCACCACAGCTAACGGTAACCTAGTTGATGATCCTAATGACTGCCTGGAACTCAGGAGAAATGTTATCGTTTAAAGACTGCATGAAGGGAGAATGATTTCATTTAACCCACTTCTAGGTCTCCTAACCCAACACAGCTACAGGTAGTACAAAAAAAAATCCCAATAAAAAGCAGTGAGGTCAATCAAAATAAACCCAAGCAGCCTGAAAACGTAGCTAAGAAGAAAGCAGGAGCAGCAGGAAGGCCTATAGTCTTCAAAGTTTTGACAGAGGTGATGTTGATGGATGGAGGAAAGCATTCTGCAGCATTTGCCGCTATGGTACAACCTCCATTGGCCCACACTTAGAGCTGTCCATTAAGTTTGTATCTTCGGAATGTTCCTGGATTTCTTGCAACCGCTAAGCTCTCATTCATAGCTTCTGCAAGCAACACTTTCAGCCATCTCTGGTTGGCTTGGAGACTCCATCCTATTCTGATGGGAAATGACCTGGCCTCAGTTATTCACACTTTTGTGCTCTCTAGTTTCAGCTGGACGACAGCAATGGAATATGCCTGGGCATGAAAACATCAGTCTTAGGAAAGTCCAGCCGACAGAGAAGTCTGCAGCACATCTCCACAACAACACAGGATAGCTCAGCATATCATATCTATCCTTGGCTCTGTACATGGGCTTCCCATGGACTATACAATCAAGTTCCAGTCTCAGTGCTTATCTTCAAGACACTTCGTGGCCTGGGCCCAGCATATCTTTAATGATTGTACGAAGCTCTGGAGTGAAGACCATGGTTGACAAGTTTGCTTCTCTGGCACAATGGAACTTTCTAGAATAAGGGGAAACCTTGTCCATGAAGGAGAAAAGCTCTCTTGGAGACTGGCTCAATATTGTCAGACAAACTCCTCCAGGAACTAAGGATCATCACAAACCTCAGCACCTTCTACTTCAAGTGCAAGGCCTTCTGTCATTTAAACAGATAGCAAATTGTATACATATATTATTTTTTTTAAAATCCCAGACAAAACACTCTATTACACATGCTTCTCCCTTTGGGGAGAGGATAAGAGAACAAGCCTGTGACAGAAGTGTAGTCAAGTTACTTAATGCACTATTATGGGGTGCTAGGATACTGCAGTGATGAGGATGAGCTCTTGGAGAACTGAACAGAATTTAATAGAATGGGACAGGACTAGTATGAGCCACCCAAAGGCCACGTCCAGACTACCGAGAAGATCGACGCTGTGACAGTCAATCTTTTGGCATTCGCTTTAGCAGGTCTAATAAAGACCCACTAAATCAAACACTGATGGCACCCCCATTAATGGCAGAACACTTGCTCCTCTTGAAGAGTAAGGAAGTCAATGGGAGTGTTTCTTGTGTGGACCTCCTGCTGTGAGGATGGAGCCAAAGCTCAAATTAAGGTACAACAGACTTGGCCTAAGGTACATCAACTCTAGCTACATTTTTTAAACTTGGCTTAAGGTACATCAACTCTAGCTACATTTTTTATGTTGCTGGAACTGTGTACCTGAAGCTGACCATTGGCTGTAGTGTAGACTTGGCCTGAGAAAGGAATGACAACCTAACTGGAAAAGGTGAAGGTAAAAAGGGATATAAGAGTCAATAGAAAACCACTCACTTTTCCTTGACCCCAGATCTCTTCCTCCTCATGTTGGCCCTTATCTGACAAAGCACATAAGTGCATGAGCATGGCCATGGGCTTCAGAGGGGATGCTTAATTAAACACATGCTTCGGTGCTTTGCTGGATTGGGGGTCCAATGAAGATCCAGACTCTGAGAAGGCCACAGAACAAACTGTCTCCTCCTCATACAACTTACTTAAATAGTCCACTGGGATGGCCTCTGTAAAGGCCACTGAGAAAAACCTGGCAGACATTAATTACGTGAGAAAGGGCTCTCATCAGAGGAATGTGGCTTATAAATATTAAAGGCGCTCTCCCGGAAACATGGGGTTTTGCAAGGAGCACTACGTATCCTGCCTTTAGAAAGTAACTGTTCTTTCTTGGACATGCATTGTACTAATTCTTTATTTCTTTGGCCTTCTTTTGACAGTTTCTCGGTTACCTGCCAGGCTACCTTCATACAGATTGAATGAGTGCAGCATTTATGGGCCAAAACTACCTTACCTTTTCCTTTTCATTTCCTTTTAACCAAGAACAGAGCTCTCAGACTTACTCTCGCTATTTCTCCATCTCTGGTGTGAACAATCTGGTATAATTCCTCAAAAGAATTCAGTGTCCTTCATGCACTTTAAATACGTGAGGCTGGCCTAGATTTTGATCATCTAAAGTGAGCAGTAATTTTTTTATGTGCCTTGGCTTTGATATGCCCAATTGGAGACACCGTGAAAAGGCTTGTTTTCTCAGAGGGTGGGAACACGGTTCAAAGTTACATCCCTTTAATGTGTCCCAGACTGGCCTCCCAGAAATTGAGATACTCAAATTCGCCAGCCACTTTGGGAAACATTGGCCAGTGGTTCAAAGTGCTCCACTTAGGAAGGAACAATCAGTTTCACAAATAGGGAATGAGAAACGACTGTCTATGAAGGAGTATGGCAGAAAGGGATCTAGGGGTTATAGTGGACCACAATCTGAATATAAGTCAACAGTATGATGCTGTTGCAAAAAAAGCAAACATGATTCTGGGATACATTAACAGGTGTGTTGTGAGCAAGACATGAGAAGCCATTCTTCCACTCTACTCTGCACTGGTTAGGCCTCAGTTGAAGTATTGTGTCCAGTTCTGGGCACTGCATTTCAAGAAAGATGTGGAGAAATTGGAGAGGGTCCAGAGAAGAGCAACAAAAACGAATAAAGGTCTAGAGAACGACCTATGAAGGAAGGCTGAAAGAATTGGGTTTGTTTAGTTTAGAAAAGAGAAGATTGAGGGGGGACATGATAGCCGTTTTCAGGTATCTAAAAAGGTGTCATAAGGAGGAGGGAGACAACTTGTTTATCTTGGCCTCTGAGGATAGAACAAGAAGCAATGGGCTTAAACTGCAGCAAGGGAGGTTTAGGTTGGCCATTAGGAAAAAGTTCCTAACTGCCAGGGTGGTCAAACACTGGAATAAATTGCCCAGGGAGGTTGTGGAATCCCCATCTCTGGAGATATTTAAGAGTAGGTTAGATAAATGTCTATCAGGGATGGTCTAGTCAGTACTTGGTCCCGCCATGAGGGCAAGGGACTGGACTCGATGACCTCTCGAGGTCCCTTCCAGTCCTAGTATTCTATGATTCTATGAAAGTTCACTGCAGGAGAGGGGGGAGATTACAAATCTTGGCTTATGATTTCTTAGCAAATATTTATGTTGATTAGAATCTAATTACCCTTCAAATATTTTGTGTCATTGTAGCATTTGTCATCTCCCCAATGGCCATAATAAAAATGGCCCAACCTGTGAGTAGCACTTCAAAGTAGAATGCTATGCTGCTATTACCTTGATGGCAGATTGCTGATTTTCACAGCCCTCTAAATAATAGGTCTTTCAAATGAGTAAAGGAAAGCAATATTTGCACTCCAAGTACGTGTTCTGTTAGTTTGAAAATCCTGTCAAAAAACCCTCCTTTCCTCAGACACGTGCCTACCAACCAATAGTTATCCCATCACAATTCATTTACTCAAGAACTGCAGTTCTGCTAGAGAGCAGAAACCATTCTGCATTGATAATAGCCACTCCTAACTGGGGGTGTTGTGTAAACACAGATCGTGGACTGACCTTTCTGGCTGCTTTCGCCAACTGACAGGATAAAGCTGGGCTAATTGCAGCCAGAATATTTCTTCTAGCATGTTCGGCGTGAAATGGAAGCTTCACTAATGGGAAGCTACTGCATCTGAGCCTTATTCAACAGGTATCAGAGGGGTAGCCTTGTTAGTCTACCCCTAGTTGACCTGCAAAAGCGGGGAGGAGTCCTGTGGCACTCGACCTGCAAAAGTGGGGAGGAGTCCTGTGGTACTTTATAGACTAACCGAAGTATTGGAGCATAAGCTTTCGTGGTCAAAGACCGACTTCGTCAGATGCATGTAGTGGAAACTACACTACATGCATTATTCCACTACATGCATTATTCAACAGGGCCCATCTTGGGAAAGTAACTAATGAAGCATCTTGCCATTAGTGTGGATTAGTTGCAAGTACTTTGGCATTGTACTAGCACAAACAGCCGATGGACTTTTGTCATAAGAACCCTTAATGAGTTCAGTTTCCCTTCCAGGTGCTAGGCCATACATCTCTCATGCCGCACAGACAATTATTTAAAACTGAAGAAGAGCTACTAAAGAGCCGGGATTATCACTTCCCCAAGGTGCGTCGAAGCCAGAAAGAGGACAGCTCATGATGTATCATTTGTACTGCAAGAGTGCCTCATGTCTCCAGTCAGGTGCTAGCGCCCCACTAACACTGGGATAGGTAGCAATAACAGGGGACACTCTTGAGTTCCTCCTCCCCAGTGAGTATGATAATGTAGCTTCTCCTGGTGCCCCCGTAAGTTGCTGACCTCGGCAGGCAGTTCTTCAGTACCTCAGACCTCTGGACAAGTCACACAGTCAAACATGGACCCCTTCCAGGGTAAGAAAGAACTGACCAAACTGCCCTCTCTGGGGTCTTCGGCCCAGTCTCTGATCCCTGTGTCCTCTTCTTGGGGTTTGGAGCTTTGTTCCTTTCTTGGGGCTTAGATCAGTTCACTAGTGGCTTGAGGGAGGGGGACCCCCTGGCCCAGCCATTGCTCTGGGTCCAACCCAGAGAG